ACCCCCGCCGCCTCCCCCCTCCCGGCCCCGGCAGCCCTGCCCGGGGAGCCATGGGAGATGCACGTGTCCCCCGGCCAGGAGCAGCTCCAGGTCTGCTGGGGCAGATGCCTCCATGCTCACTCCCAAAGCCAGGCTTTCATCCGAAGGTCCTATTCCAGATGGGGAGAACCCTGGAGCGGGGACATGCGTGCTCAGCACCCAGCTCAGCACCCAGCACAGCGGGCTCTGGGGTCAGGGCTTCAAATAAGCCAGTTGCAGCTGGAGGGAAGAGGAGCATCCTATGAAGGCAAATGGTGCAGGTAGATCGTCTGGGGGCTCAGCTCACAGCCTGTTCTCCCGCTCTTTCTCCATCTTCTGTAAAAACTCTCTACCCCTTCCCAAGATCTACAGCTCTTCTTCCACCAACCCACCACTGTTGGGGCCCAGCTGTGTTGACCTGGAGTCCCCACTGCTCTGGACCTCATGCCAGGTGAAGCAGAGAGGAGCTGAGTAGTGCCCAGAAAAACCTTCCATGGGCCCGGAGGCAGAATTGGGACCCCAGTTATGTTTCTGCTCCAAAATGTGCAAAAGAACCCTAATTGCTTCAATCACACAGACGGCAAAGGCGCTGAGGCAGAGCACTTTGTGGCAATGATTAGCAGCATTTAAAAGAGACATTTATAAACTGACAGCCGGTCACAGCATCAAGTAAATAACAACATCGGGTTGGGTGCTTTTCTAAAAAGCATCAATAGCTGCAACCATCTCGTCACGGGGATGAGCAGCCATCTCCACCCCGCTGGAAGTGCCCTGAAAGGCAGGGATGGAGGGGAAGCAGAGCGCAGAAGCACTGGGTGTCGGGATGAACGTGGAGCTGGCAAAGAAATGGCTGCAGCGGGGGACACCAGAGTCCCCAGTGCAGCCCAGGGACGGAGGGACACCCATCTGTCCCCACACACTGCCTTCACTGCTGTGTTAGCTTGGCACAGCCACTCTGCCCGGGTGGCCTCATAACACGGGACAAAGGTGGCCAACTCCAGGCATATTTGGTCCTCGCCCAGCGCTGAGACATACCTTGGCCTTATTGATCGTGCAGTGGAGAGCGTTGTTTTCTTGATCGTAGAGCAAGCTGAAATCCAGCGTCCCCAGCGTGGCTGCAAAGGAGAAAAGATGTTATTAACCTGCGGGGCCCGGCAAACACTGCCTCTTCTCCCTCTAAGCACAAAAGGAGTGGATGAAGATGCTAGAGAAATGGCTGCAGACATTATAAAATATAAAACATCCTCCTGTGAGCCCTGTTATGAAACATGGCTTCATGCTGGGAGGCTGGTGGCCATTCCCTGCGTTGGGCCGTCGGGGCTGGCACAGCCCTGGGAGAGGAGCGAGAGGGATGGATGGCTGCGGGTTGCGCAGGCACTGCAGCCAGCGCAGAGGATTTGCCTCCGTGGGCTTTCACACGAGTCGCTTCATCTATCAGCAGCCCCACTGCAGCCAGCAGCTCTCTGTCCCCCAGGAGCTGAAGGCTCTTCTCTGGGAAGATCCGGGCACAGCTGGGACACAGCCGAGACCTGCTGCCGGCACATCTCCCCCCCTCCAGTGCCGCTGGTGTTCCCAGAATGTGTATTTGTATACCGACACCTTCAAACAAATGAGCCACCAATGGGATCCCTTCCCAGCTCCAATTTGGCTGCAAACTGTAAATGAAACCCAGTGAGACTGGAAAGACTTTTATGGTTAAAATGAAAAACACCAACAGCTTTTAATCAGAGTAGTGTTCCCTTACGGCATCCGCAACCCAGGAATGGCAGCAATGGGGCAGCTCCTGGGATGAGGCCACAGGGAAGGGGCAAGAGACCAGAACAAACCAGAAGAGCCTTGGCAGCAAAAGTACATTTGATTTGAGAAAATTCTTTCCCTTTGGACAATCTGAGCAAGTTGCACTAATCCAAAGCAGAAGAAAAGCCTTAAAAAGACATGCTTTCCAAAACATGATTTAACCTTCTCTGAGGCTCCTGGACCTGATTTGCACACCAAAGCCCAGACGCAGAGCAGCAGCTCCCCCGGTGCAGCTTTGCCTGCCACCAGCCTTGAACTTCCAGGGTGGCTCCGGACCCCGCAACCCACACTCTTCTGTGCCCACCATCCCAAAAGGGGTCTGCCCGAGCACTGCCCTGCCGCTGCGCAGCATCCCACCACTGTTGCCAAGGTAACTGCACCTTCCCACCGTGCATGCAGGTTCAGAGCAGGGAAAAAAAAAAAATCCCAAATAAAAACCAGAACAATTTTGCTTAATATCAAAGCAGGGTTCGCTGCCTGGGAGGTAAGTTAGACAAACTTTATGGCAGGAAATAAGGTGCTTTTTTCCAGCGTAAATAGCCTCTGCAGCAATGCGCCCCAGGAGGCAGTGGATATTCAGGGGACTGAAACCTTCCTGCTGCAATTTCACAGCGATCTTCCAGCCCAAACACAAGTGAGCTACAGGTTTGCCTGCTAGCAAATAAAAATCATTGCTCCGGAGCAAATACCTTGCCTTCAAAGCAGAGCAAATATTCAGAGAGATTTCTGCCAGAATAATGTACACCCACCGCTATCGGTTTAGGTAAGTCATAAATCAGTGGGGTTTACCTGCCAGGGCTCAGGGGAGATGGAAGTGATACAGGGTGAGGCCAAACCTACACCACCTTGTGCGTCACCTCTGGGTTTGGCCCAAACGGGCATTTCCCAAGCAATTACCAGCCAAACGCGCTCCCCATAACGCAAGGAGGAGGAAAGCGCAGCGTGCTGCTGGCTGGCTGTCCCCTGCCCACGCTCAGCGATGGGGAGTTCACGGCCACGTACGGCAGCATTGGAGCACCAGCCTGGAGAGCCGGCACCACCATGCTGGGGCGGGTGTAGCAGGAGGCTCTACGGCACACGGACGAAAGCCAAGTCAGCAAAACTCAGCAAATCTGCATTTTCACTCGAGAGCGGAAGATGAAGCCTCCGGTTTCGGAGCCTCATCATTTCCACCTGCCCTTTAATCAGCCGCTTCCTGCCCGCCCCACCGCTCGGCCCTCCCAAGTTCAAGCTGTTATTTTATTTTTATCACAGAAGGGGGCCTGCGGCTTAGCCTGCTGGATTTGGCAATTTATAAAACAAATTAAAAGCTTGGCGTGAAAACAGACTTCGGCCAGGAAATACTGACAAAGCCGCCTGTCCCCTCAGTGCCGCAACCTGCCTCAGGGGTGAGGGCAGCAGGGAGCCCCGCTACAGCAAGATGGGAAAAACCCAAAAGCACTGTCACACAGCAGCAGATGCTTGTTTTGCAGCTGGGGACTAAGGTCCTGCTCCTCAGTGCTGGTGGTCCGTGAGCAAACCTTGAGCAGTTCCCATTCATCTCGGAGCTGCAAGGAGGCAGGAGGGCACAGACAGGGATGCGTGGCTCCCCCCAGCCCTGCAAGGCTCCATCCCCAGCTCTCCTCCAGCCCTGGAGCGGTTTTCCCCTATGCAGGGATTTTTTTCACTGGTGGTGAGTCTCGATTCCCAAGGAAGGGTCTGCCTGCGGCAGAGGGATGTGAAAACATCAGCAGAACATGTGCTAATTGCTTTAAAAATGCGGCCGTATGGAGATGACAAAAGGGATCAGGCTAACTTGGGGTTTGGCAGCTAAGGTGCCGCTACGGAGCTGAGGGCGAGCGCTGCCGCCAGAGCCAGGAGCCAGCGGGGCAGTGGATGCGGAGGACACAATGCTCTGAAGGAGCGGAGTGCCTGTGGCGCTGTCGCCGCCCCACTGTCTCCATTACCTCCTGGGCGATGGATCCAACACAGCGGTGAAGGCAGAGACAAGGCTCAAGCTAAGCATCCCCAGCCAGCCGCTCCCGAGCAGACTGGCCCCAGGGTTGCTCGGGGGCCTGAGGAGATGGCAGGAGACCTCCGGCTGAATCCAACAGGGGGAGCCACCCTGCAGCCCGCAACAGCGCTGTGCGAACCCCCTCGGGACCACAGCCCAGCTGGGGAGCCAGCCCTGCGCTCCCGGAGAGGGAAGCACGCCCAGCGAGCAGCCAGGCAAGCCAACACCAAAACACCGGCACGGCTCTCACCCCTCCTGCAAAACTGCCGGCAGCACATCTCCAGCCAGCAGGATCGGGTCCAAAGCCTCTGGGCTGCAGCAGCCACCCAGGGACGCACCGGGCTCCGAACAGGGCCCTCTGCAAAGTGGCCCTATCGCCCTTCTTTGATTGCTTTCCTCCTCCCACCCATCCTCACAGCTGAGATGCAACTTGATTGTGCTCTTAATTAGGGGAGCGAGTGCCTAAAAAAGAAAAGGGCAGCAATTAGACTCGAAGCGCTGTTACTAGACCTATTTAACTCAACTGGGCTATTCTAAATGCTGCCCTCTAATCACACAGGCTGCAAATAAAAAATATAAATAAATGTCTTTGTCAGGCATTACAAAGGCAGCTTTGCGCTCTCCAGACAGCAGGCAGGATGTATCATTATTATTACGATTATTCTGCTCCAATGATAAAATAACCATTAGGAGAGCTGAACTCATTAGCAGGTTCTGACCCTCTTTCCTCTCCATGAATTGGGAGAGATTGATGGGAAGGTGCCAGCCAGGGTCTGGCATTTAACACAGGCTCTAAAAAGGAAAATAAATCTGACTTGCACAGGAATGCGGCCTCTTCTCCCACTGACCTTTGGGCATTTTGATTAATTCAGTGGGCCACAAAATTATTAGAGGCCAGCATAACCGGCAGATGCGTCTCCAGGCTTAGCCGTGGGATACGGCGAGCGCGCCTGGAGCCCGCGGGCAGCGCGGCGTCCTGGCACAGTGCCGCTACCGCCCTTGTTGGTAGAGTCGGCAGAAATTGTTTATTGCTGACATTTCCCACCAGCGCCCAGGGTGACGGGGAGGCTGAAGTAGCTTCTATTTATACCTGTGGGATGAAAGGCAAAATGCAGTGATAAATCTGTGCTCTGCTCCCTTATCCAGTCCCTGTCCTTGCAGGCTACGTGCCCTCGCCTGGCCCACGCAGGGTGGCAGATCGGCTCCGCCGGTGGCCTGGGACATCCCAGGGAGAAGAATTTCTCTGCCCAAGAGATGCTCAAGACATGGAAGAGGCACCGGTGCTTGCAGCACAGACCCACGAGTTTTGGCACTGCCCGCAGAGGAGGAAACTGATGATTGAGCGGGCTCCTTGCCTTCCAAAGTCAGGGCAGCTTTTGCATCGCGACTACCATTAGAAAGCCCAGCAAGGCTCTATGCTGGGGAAATTGAGGTGTGCACAAAAAATACCACTATAGAACTAATTAAAAAGAAGTCCAAAAGCCTTAAGTCCCTCTGCTTATCAGCGTTGCTGCTCCCAAGATAATCTGCTCATGGATTTTGTGCCAGGGAGATCAGAGTGGAGCAGTAAAAAGACTGCTGGGGATTGTCTGGATTAGCTCTCCCTTACAGAAAGCACAGGTTCAGTAACCTTCAGACTGGATATTTTTTAATGCACTATAAAAGATAGGTCCCTATTCTTCCATTGCTTTAATTTTCCTCTGCAATGGAGATAATTTTAAAGGTCCTGAAAGGCAGCAAGTAATTCTGTGCACTTACAGCCCCATGTAAAATGTCGGTAAATGACTCCTCAGGAGGAACAGAAATTATTTCTTGCCATTTCCAAGCAGGGCTGCTGAAGATCGCTTTGGCGGGTGACTGCCTGCGCTCCTGCCTCCCCGGGCACGGCAGTGCCTCGTACAGGTCCAGCGGCACATGATGGTGCAGGGAGCACCAGGGCAGCTTGAGAAGCAACTCCCTGGGCCACATGGGAGCGAGCCCTGGAAAGCCCCCAGCATAACCCCTGGAAAAGAGCCCCATCAGTCCCAGCAGGTTCCCGTAGCTGTGGGGCCGAGCTTGCCCAGCACCTGCAGCACTCCCGGTCCACGCACAGACCTGCTTGGGCTGCTACTTGCGACTCGTGTGCCTCTGCGGGGAGGGGGTGCGTGGCCTGTCAGGGATGGATCCCACAAGGTGCTGAGACCCTGATGGCTGCAAGCCCCCAGGTGCCCCCAGGTCTGATGGTACCACTGACCTCTGGCACAAACCCACAGCCACAGGCATCGCTGCGGGTTTCAGCATCAGCCAGGGAAGGTGGTGAAGGCAAGTGGAAATGGGACACTTCTG